TGGGAATGCTCTTGCCCGAACTCGTTTAACTTCAAAGTTCTTACGGAACCTGAAGCCAGTGAGCTCCCAAAATGCCTCGTGCTAGGTAGAGATGAGAATATACATATAAGGCTTACATGATCCACTCCCCTGAACAATGTGTGATGTTACAATCCACCCCCCTTATGGGCCCAACGTTCTCGTCGGCACACATCTGGGCAGGGATTGGCTCTGATACCAAATTTACAGAAATGAAGATCTCAAAAAGAGGAACAACTTTCATACCTGCCACGAAGTCCAAAAGTGGACGGAAGATAGTCAATTTTGCCCACAAAGCCAGCGGGTGGGATGTTACAATTAGTCAGTAGATTATCTATTATAATATAAGTGAGAGCATATATATTATTCAATGTCTAACCAATTATATCATAACACGTAATATATCAACTCGTGTTCCAAATACATTTAAATATCTCCCCTCTTTTATGAAATTAGGAGAGAGATTGTCTAATCATACAAAGAAAAGTAGTCTTTACTTGTCATGACTCTCTTGTTTGGCAAAGGTAGTCGACATGAATCTTGACAATACATTTTGATAGCAATATCAACTTGATCCATAATTTCTAATTCAAAGTCACAATTGTCAATATAAACCATATTTTCTTTATGAGTAGCATGCATCCAGAATATTAGTCGGTAGATTATGTATTATAATATAAGTGAGAGTATATATATTGTTCAATGTCTAACCAATTATATTATAATACGGAATAGTGTTTCAAATACATTGAAATATCTTCCCTTGTTTTAGACCATATGTAGGAATAGAATATTCCATTTCCTTGTTCATGTGTACATAACATATTTAGTGATGGATATTTTGGCACTTGTCATGGATTTATGAAATGGGTGTATTCCACTACTCATATAGGCTCCATGTAGGTATAGATCCCACTGCTACTTTTGAGTGAGAGATGGACTTAAAGCAATGGTGGGGTTTGATGGAGACAGCGCTTAGGAGGACAGAAGAAATGCAAAAAGGTTTTTTTTTAGTCAAAATGATCTTTTAAATTGTTATAATTTTTTATTTTTGTTTTTGAGATTTAAAATCGATATGAGTGATTTTTAAAATTGTTTACGGTTAATCATTTTGATTATTCTGTGAAAAATTTTTATTATTAAAAAAATCATAAGTTCAAGTGAAGGGGTTCATTTGACATAAATATTCTTAATTTATGGACGAGTTTTTACATAATAACCAAAATAATTGATGGTAAACAATCTTAGTAACTACTTCTGTCGATTTTGAATCTTAAATACCAAAATAAAGAGTTATAATAATTTAAATAATATTTTGACTAAAAAGCCAATGCAAAAATAATTGTTAGTGAAAGCGATGGAAACATACACACTTCTGCCCAAAGCAATGTTGCCTTTTTATTTATTGGGATCTCTCCGTGTCAAGGAATTAGGCAGATCCATTATTTTTGATTAATTTCTTCTATCTGTGATTGTTGCGAAGTCTTGTGGCCTCAAAGGCCAGCAGCATCATAACTTTCCTTTTGATTAGAAAAAGTAGAATTTATACTATAGGAAAGAAATCATGCTACAAAAAAATGGTTTCCAGGACAATTTAAATTAAAAAAATCTCAATGCTAAGTTGATCTTGCTTTAGAAGGACGTATGTCATTTAGGGATGAACAATGATTATGGCACATAGGTAATCGCAATTATTTACTTAGAAACCGTTTACGTTCATACCTCAACAACCATTTACTCATTGTGTAATTGCCTAAATAGTTATATCTATTTCCATAACCATTTAACTGTAATCATTTACCCTTTTACCTCTTTTTTAACCCGTTTACCTTTTTTTTTTTTTTTTAATTTTTTTTAACCCATTTACCCTTTTTTCCACCCATTCACATGTTTTTTTTTAACATCTTGAAAATTTAAAAAGACAAATTTGTCATAATTTTTTTTTTTGACAATTAAACACCGTTATAGGTATATTTAGCATGCATTTTCGTATTTTAATCTTTTAAATCCTCATACAATTCTAATAATTGAGTTTATTTTTAACTGTTACCAATAAAGATAATATAATATATTTGCTAAGAATTGATTTGCTACTAACAAAATAGCTCTCACGTGAGCAAGCATATTGGAAAGAAAATTCATGTATTTTTGACATATTTTTTTGCTATAACCAAGCTGCTCTTCAATCATATGATCCATATAATTGTGAGTTTATATCAAGAACTGATTGATAACAGTTAAAAATATCAACAACTGATTGTTGGATAACTAATTAAAGATTTTTTTTTAATCTAAATTTATTGTTAAAGAACTAATTAAAGATATTGTTAGAGAACTAACAGTTAAAAATATCAAGAACTGATTGTTAGCGAATGTTCCTACATTTACGAACGATATATATATATATTTTCATTTTTACATATATTAAAATAAATGGATAAAAAATACTACAGTTATATTTATCCATTATAACTGTAGATAATATCTATAAATATCCATTTAAATTTCACGTGTAAACGATTATATCCTAACTGTTTATTTGTCTAAACGATTACTTATAACCGTAAGCTTTAACTTTAAATGGATGAGTAATCGCGTTTACCCATATCTATGAGTATTTTGTCCATTCCTAATGCCACTAAACCACACAAAAGGTGACTGAGAGCATTTTCACAACTTCTCTAAAATGATATTTTTATCATTTATTTGTATTATCATTTGTATATTTTATTTAATGAATATAATATTTACATATTATAGTAAATCCTATTTTTATTAAATAGATAATACAAACAATAGTTAGAATTAGGTGATCGAGCCCAAATGTTTGAATTACGCATTAGATATATGCGTATGTTTATTATTTTATTTTATTTTTATGGAGGATGCATGTTTCAATTGTGATATGTACGAGAGGGAGAAGACGAGCGGCTTGTGTTTCACTGGCATAATACTTTGGTGTCAGTAAAATACAATACAATTTCAATTTGGTCATGTGCTCATATCAGGTTGTTGGAGAAAACGTCACATCTGGTGGTTTGACCGTGGCTACCTAATTAAATATTTGCTTTGAAATAAATGAAGCATAAAGTTAATGTCATCCAGAAGGTCAAAGCTTCAAAATTAAAAAAATAGCTTGATTTGTTTCAGAATTTATAATTTTATAGAGTTCACAAAGATATTATTTGGTCTGGACATTCGGTGGCCAAATGTGGCCTCTCTTACCACTTTTTGGAGGTTAGCTATTTAAAATAATTGATTAGACGATTGGATTTTAAAATATTCAATAGTAATTTAATTAATTAACTAATAAATTTTTTGAAAAAAAGAAAATAACTAATAAATTTAAGTATAAACTTAAAACTAATAAATTATTAAACGTTATATTTAATCATTTCAGTTAGAGATGGTATATGAGTATTACCTAATATTGTTTATATATAAATCATTTTTTACAGAACTATAATTCCGGATTAGAAAGGCAAGAAGATTTTATATACAAAGAGAGGGCGGTCTTATTTTTTATTTTTTTTATTTTTCTGTTAATCTGTGTTTGAGAGGAGGAGGCAGGGTGCGACTGCTCTATATCCCATGCTTGGGATTAGTTTTTCGCGCGAACACATATACAAGCGTTTCCAAACTCCTTGACCAGAAAATTCAGTCTATTTGTCATTCTTCCATATTCAGCTTCTTACTAGTACAACAGTCACTTTCTACATCTTACTTTGTTATGGAACCAAATTTCCTCTAAAAATAAAAATGTGAAATAGCCATAAGTAAATTGTATGTCTGTAACATTACCTGTTCAATCTGCATCAGTATACCCATCTATACTATGTGACCATTCTTTGAAAACATTATTCCTCTTCTTGGTGCAAACTTTGAATATCTAAAAATTCGAATAATTGCATTAATTCATGTGATTGAAATTAGACCCACATGTGTTGGTGGGTCTCGTTCGTTAGAGAGATGGTGTATATATGTGGTAAGTGTATAATTACTCTTTATATCTAATTTTAGTTGAAATTTGATTAGCAAAAACGATACTCTTACTAATTTTTCATACTACATTTGAATCGTTCCTGTAATAAAGATAAGGCCCACATATGTTAATAGGCTTTACTTCTATTAAAGGGATTATACAAATTTAATGAAAATTGTGGTAAATTATATTATAAATTTATATAGTCATTGTGCGAAATTATTTGCTGCACAAATTTAGTGTAGCACGGCCCTTGAATAAACTCTCTCGTCTAAGAAAATAGGCACCCATTATAAACACAAGATAGGAACACAGGGAAAGAAGTAAAGCCATGCCAATAGCTGAAGCATTGTACCATTGACACGCAGCATCCGCTGTGGCCATGCAGGTGAACACATGTCACTCACTCAGCCGCAACGCATGTCAAGCCGCCAAGCACCACGTCGCAGATCAACAACGGGTACCAATTTCGTACACACCCCCCATCCTTCACCCCCACAAGAAATTTTTAATTGTTATAGTACATCATGTGTTTTTATGTAAGTAGTGAAACTTTTTATGTTTTAAGTTATTAACTATTTGACACTCATATCCTACTATTTATCTAATGACACGTGGTATACCATCCCCTTCCTTATGACGGTCACACTGCAAAATCTCTCTACCCCACCGTTGTTTCGAAACACTGAGCAAACAAAGAAAACCCTCTCGAAATTGTTTGTGATCTTCAAAGCAAGAAATCATCATATTATTCGTATTTATACCAAAAGATCAAATAACCCGGAATGATGAACTTTGTGGCTCTGTTCCTTGTTGTGAGTTCACTGTTCAACACTGGCGTGTGGCCTCCATCTGCAAGCCTACCAAATGGTCAGACCCAGCAGCAGAAGCAGAGGCAAGACGATCATCAGCAGCAACATGCTAGGGATCAGGAAATCATTGTGAAAAATGGGCACAAGGTGGTTGTCGTGGAGTACGACGAGCGTAACAATCTTACGTGGACTTAACTAGTTAGGATAAAGGAGAAGTAATAGATTGGTAATACAAATCAAATAGAGTTTAAATACGTGTAAAGTTACATCTTAAAATTGAGGAATACACTTTCAACGTGCATTTGAAAATAAGCACTAATCACAACTGCTCCATACATGGTTGGATTGGGTGCAACGGGTGAACAACCAACCCTCCACGAAACCACGCCTAGGCTTTTTAGGCCTATCCGCCAGAGGACGTTTATCCAACCTGCTGGCAATTCTAGGCACATGAAGATCACGAGGAGGTGATGCGACGCAGCAGGGCGGTGGAATGTCAGAAGGTGGAGAAGCCATCGTAGGAGAATAATTCGAGTCGGAATCCGTGTCCGTTTTCCCTGGCTCCTCTCCTTCTTCTCTTTCGTCCTCTTCCTCTGAGCTCTCCGTTCGGGAGTCGGTCACACGTACGGGAAGTAAATGATGGAGTTGCGAAAGAGGTGGTTTGAGTAAGGGTGTTAGCAACTTCTCTAGAGCTCCATATCTTCCTCGTCACAAACCTCTTTAGCCAACATTTTCGGTCTTTGGAGAGTATCTGTTCGGGACCATCCGATAAAGCTGCGAAAGAAGCTCATGGTAAGAAATGTTTGCATATTTATGGAAAAACTAATAACAATGGTAAATTTATATACCAGGTTTAGGACCAAAAGTAGAAGGGATAGGTAGTTGAGACAGCTCGGGAGCCTTCCAGTTCCCCGAAATTAGAAGTGGGCAGTTCTTCCAATCCCTGGCTCTTAAGGGGGCCAATGACAAGAATTTCTTGCGATATCTAGGTTTAAAATCAAAGAAGCTAGTTTCACCCTTAATGGTAGTCATGTCGAAGATATAGAGGAAATCTCTAAAACCTAAGGATACACCTAGCTTCAGACCCAATGCCAGAAAGGTTGACATAATCAAGTAAGAGTTTGGGTTCAGTTGCATAGGGTGGGTGCTTGTGAAGAATAAGATGAGATGAATCATGGGGTGGAGCGGGAAACTAATGGCCCCTAGGTGGTCCGGAGACAAAATGGTAAACCCAGCTGGGATACCGGAGCCCGAATGCATGTCGGCTCCGGCAGAAAGTGGGCTAAGGTGCACGTCATCTGGGACGATTTCAAAGCATGGTGGAGTGCCACCATATTTAGACCAAGGTGTACATCTCGACATGAGAAACATAATGGAAGACTCGTCGGACAAAACTGATTCGAGAAGATAAAAGAGGAATATGTGGAGTATTCCCGCAAGTGGGGTTTGAAATAAAGAGTTACCTGTAAGCCAAGAGGCCACTTGAGAAACCACATGCTTGGTGGAGGAATTGAGTAAAGGAAGTGAAGAAAAAAGGGATGGAGAAGCCTAAGGTAATGACATATATATATATATATATATAAATTTATATATGTGCATGTGAGCATAGAGATATATACGAATATATGAAAAGTACGTAGAGATCCGCATGTCGGTACACAGAGATATGCACGTAGATGTTACGTGTAGGTGTGCCTATGTATGCCTAGGTACCCAGACACATACATACACACATACATACATACATACATACATACATACATACATACATACATACATACATACACATATATATATATATATATATATATGGATTTGGATCCTCTCCTGAGCTCAGCATCTTGATCCTACTGAGCAAATAATATAGGTCGTTGGATCAAAATCTAACAGGTACAATTATTATAATTTTTAAAGAACATTCTATTTGTAGTCGTTGGATCAAAATTCAATGGTTCATATGATTTGCTTAGTAGGTTCAGGATACTGAGCTCAGGAGAGGATCCAAATCCTATATATGTGTGTGTAGTTAGATAGATAGCCCGGTGTGCAAGTCTGGCAAGGATGTGATGTCTGCAAAAGTGTATGTGTGTGTGTGTATATATATATATATATATCTTTATATATAGTGAAGCAAGTCAGGGTCGGAATGCATGTATGTCTATATGTATGTATGTATGTATGTATATATATATATAGAAAAGCAAGTTAGTGTCGATGTCAGTGTCAATATATATGTATGCGTGTGTGTCTGTATAAAAGCAGATGGATGTGCAGACTAGGCGTGTTCGGCGAGAGGGACGCGCTTTTAGGCTTCTGTACTGCAGCTGCTGCTTTTGTCAGTTCAACAAGATGGGATGGTGGTTTATGTAATCGGTACACACACATATACATATATATACATATATAGCTTGTCAGACAACCTACTGAGTCAAATTTTGTCAGTCACCGTTCGTAAGATATCAGTTCATTTTTGTAATATGTCAGTCCTCGGTCGTAAATCATCTCGTCCCTAAATCCACTTGTCATTCCTCGTTCGAAAATCACCTCGTCTCTAAATCCACTTGTCAGTCCTCGTTCGTAAATCCTCGTTCGAAAATCCTTGTGGGAAGATGTCAGCCCTCACAACGAAGTGAGGACTTCAGTAAATTTACCTTTAGTAAGTTTATTCTTAGAAAAAACAATTTTCACAAATTTGGCCTTAGTAAAAAGTGTTTCAAGTTTAGCTTGGTTTAAAGAGTGTAGTTTCAAGGCCCCATGAGATTGAAAAACTCAGTTTTTCCCTATTTCACATGAGTAAAAAAGGAAAAAAGGGGGCACTGTGGGAGGATAAAATCCGATTTCGACTCACAGCCAATACCAATCATCCAAGGAGAAAGTGTTGTGAAAGGTAAAAAGCCCACAAGAAATATACGGACGCAAGGGAACGTGCCTAGAAAACTACCCCACTACAGAGGAGAAGTGGGAGAGGGCAACAGGTCGTGGCACTTGTTCCTAAAGCATGCAGTCATATGACAGATGACCACTAAGGAAGTGGGGAAGGAGGACTGGTCGTGGTGCTTGATCCTCAAGCATGCAATCCTATAAATAGGTAAAGGAGCCAAAGAACAAGGCACATGAGGATAACTTGAGAGAATCCAGAGAAGAGAAATCAATCAACTTGACTTGAGCGTTAGAGTATCTTTTGCTGGTACCCCACCTAGGCAAGCCACGAAAGAGGAAGACTATTTTGAGACACCTCAAAGAAGGATTCGGCGAACGTGAAGATTACGGTTAACATATCTATGGAGGTATTTCTTCTTGTAGGAAATCTTGCTCCAACACCCTCTGAGAACAATACGAGTCTCATCACCCGCAACATATGGACCCTGAAAGGCACAACAAGTAGGCTAAATGCATCGCAGGTCGGTTGCTCTCTATGTTGAAGCGTGTTGTGTTTTTCTGTGTGTGTGAATGATGTAGAGCATTCATATATACACGTACGAGGCAACTTCGATCACAGATGAGTACAATTAATTACGTACAGTGAATCTCTTCTTCTTTTTGTAGTTGTCACTATTTTTAAAGTGTCTACTGTTTTTGAATGTCCGAGTTGGAATCTTTTGACGCTTGTATCAATATATCTTTTTATTTTGGAAATTTTAATGAAAAGTTTTGATATTATTCATTTTAACGAAAAATCAAAATTTTATTTTAAAAAAGCAAACTTGGTACCATTCACTTACAACACATTTTTGTCATTTTCGTTAAAACACAAAATTTTCAAGTCATTTTCATTAATTTTTCTTTTTATTTATGGACCACTTCATGGCCGACACATGGTACTCGTTGAAGTTCTACAGGCCCATTTTGAGAATTTTGAAAACTCCTTGTCCTAACGAGTAAAATGGCCCAAAAATTGGGTTTCTCATTCGTTCTCCCTTTTGTTCTTCCTCGTTCAGAAAACACAAGTTTACTCAAAAAGTCCTAAAGCAGAGAATGGTGGTTTCTTTAAGAAGCCAAATCAGTTACAACTCCTTCCTTGTATTAAGATTATGGTTGTTAAAAGCTCGTGGTTCTTTAAAAGCTATTATATTTTCCATCGGTAGTATATAATTAAGCATAATCCATGATCATGAAATTGTTTCATGGACGCAACAGAAGGGTAGAAAATAACCATCAAGGGATGGCTTAGTGATTTGTGGACAAATTTCAGACTCATATTCTACAAGGCATGTCTTGGGTTCAATTCCTGATGAATTAGACGATGGTGGTCAAAGGATGTTGAAATGTCTTCGTGAATCTTTCCTACCCCCAAAAGGGTGGACTGCCATGACGAAGCCATCAATCAATCAGTCCCTTTTCTCAAAGAAAGAAAACAGAAGGGTAGAAAATAAAATCCATACATAGAGCAGAAAGGAGTCATACTACTGTCTGAATTACATATGAAAGTGATAATTATCTTAATCAAAACACCTCTGCTGCGACCGTAATCGATAGACAAAAACTGCGTTTATTCAGGTAAACAAAAATAAAAGTACATTCAGGCAATTGTAGGTAAATAAGATACCTGTTTCATCAACATTCAACACCTACACTCTGCTCACAATTTATTTTGAATGGCTTGCACTACTACTTCCCCCAACAGACAATAAATTAACCTTGGTTGTCGCCAACGACTCCCCCTTTAATACCACGGACCGCCATCCCATCAGAATCGAGTTCAGCATCGACTTGGTTGCCCCTCAGACCCTCTAAGAACTCAATCCTATTAGTAATGAAATCAATTCTTTTATCCAATTGTTGATCAAGTCCGTTCAAACTTTCAAGGCGACCAGGATCAAGAAAATTCTTACCTTCTAGGTATTCAATCAAAAGTAGCTTCTCATCAAGTTCTTGATTCTTAAATCTCGCTCTTTCCAATTGTCTGTTCAGCTTAGATATATTGTTCTTGAGAAAGGATTCTTGATCCACCATGAACTTGCCTCGCCTTTCTTCAGATAAATTCCTGAATTTTTCAAGCACATAAAATGCTTCTTGTGGAGAAGGCCACACGTCCGTCTTGGTATCAGAAGGATTGTAAATAACAGCGCATGCAATAACACCACATAAAGTTGTGATCTCATTCAGCTTTCTGAAGAAACTTGCCTTCCTATTTTTGAAGGTTGCTCTCCTGCTTGGTTCATGAGAAATCAATTCACGCTTAGTCCTATTTTTAGCCATGGTTGAGAATACAAAGAAGCAACAGGTACCTTCCGGAAGTTGCATTGGAGATGGTTATAAAGGGAAGAACTTCGGGGGCTGCAAGGAGTCAACCCCATTTATTCTTGCTCTTAATTTGTAGCATCTTCACGGATATAGGTATAATTGGTCAGGGAAAGAGTAAGTATGGTATATAATTGAATAGGATTTCTAAACAAGATTTTCAGCATTTAGTTTGTCAACCGAATTCAGTTGGACAATGACGTATGTATTTCATTTAAGAATAAACAACCTTCTAAAATGATATTCAGCATACGACTAAAATTATTTGCATGACCTAGTGCATTTTTAGAATACACGATACCTTCATGTCGAATCTGGAATTGTTTATAATGTTGTTATCCGCTGCAAAAACTTTGACAATGTTTTGAGGAGTTCTGTTTTCATTTTTAAGCGGAACTCTTACAAGTCTTACATGCTGGTTTTGCATCCTAAAAATCCGATAAAATTATAAAATCATATCAAATAAATCAAAATAAGATTGCTGGCTAAAAAAGACATTGAACTGTTGACCAAAAAAAACACTGAAGCTTCAACATAAAAAGGGCATTGAAGTTCCTTTTGTTTGGCTTGTTACCTAACAACCAATAAAACTTACTTCATCAAGGGACTAGATGACATGGTGAATTGTTGAAGTGAAGATATGGTGAATTTATACCATCAAAGAGTTCAGTTCAAAGTCCAAAGTAAATAGAGAATGTGAATACAAACTAACTTGGCCAATAAAAGTTACCTGAAATATGGATATTAAGTATCCAAGGTCAATTGCTTGGCTTCAAGATCAATCTCCAACAAGCGTCTCCATCATTAGCCAACTGTTGAAGGTAACAAGATTAGGGGCTTTTAACAAATGAAGTTAACCGCTTGAATGTTAGTCCTCCAACCTTTTAAGGAACCACAACCATGAATATGTCCAATTCTTGTATAAACAGTATGGACCCTCTTTTTAACAATCATACTTTCATAGAAGGAGTTGCAACTGATTTGGCATCTTAAGGAAAACACCATTCTCCGGTTTAGGACTTTTGAGTAAAGTTGTGTTATCTAAACGAGGAAGAACAAAAACTAATACATTTAGTAGAAGTTACTTGGCATAGATGATACGGCTCCCAGGTCAGATGTTTCTCTACCAAGCAGTCCAATTTCTTCCCTACCTAGCATTTTCAATCATAAAGGAAAGTGCTGGAGGAGTAAACAGGATGAAAGAATACAACAGATAACAGATGAAGAAAAGCTAAAATTTTTAATTGTCTAAACATTTAAGGAAATATGTCTAGATTTTGCATTTTCTATCTCTGTAAAGGTCAAATTAGCAGAATCAATATCTCCAGATTTTGCATACATGCATTATGTGAATTTTCAACAATAGTAAATTCCCAACTCCAGCTTTTACAGCATATCCTTGGATCTGCTCTCCAGATCTTGCTGCGGCCAAATCATCACGCGCCCCCAGCATGCTTAATACTATGAATTCATCAGGCTTCATTCCAGATGACAAGAGTCAATAAAATAAATCAAATGCACTCTCAATCTCCCCATTTTGAATATAACCTGCAACCATGGATGTCCATGAGACAATATCTAGCCTAGGAGTTAAGTTAAAGCATCTCAACGCATGATTGGATAAACCCAACATAGAGTAGAAATCAATAAGTCCACTTCAATGAATTCTTCTCCCTGCAAGTTGGACTTGCAGACTTGAGTGTGAACTTGTTCCCTGTACTTGAGCTTCAACCAATTTACAAGCTCTCAATATGACTGAGGAGGTAATGTATATGGCTTGATTCCTATCCTTGGCATCTCAGATAGAAGATTGAACACTTTGTTTGCTTGTCCATAAGAAAAGGTCTCTATTTGAAGGAACCCCGCAATCATGGCATTTTACAAAACAACATTACGGAAGGCATGAATTTGTATATTTGTATCACATCACCTAAACCAGCAGTCTTTGCATATCAAGCACTGCCGTGCTGACAAGAACATCCAAGTCCAACCCCAGTTTGACTGTGTAGCCATTAAGTATTTTCCTAAATAGGCCTGAATTGTCAAATGTTTTGCATACGTCTTAAGGGCACTTCCCAGAGTTGTCAACGTTTCCTCATTAGAACCAATTCGAGCATAGCAAGCAGTCAAGGAATTCCATGAGACATGGTCCAAGTTATCCGAACTCTAAAACAAATTCCTGGCATGATCAACCTGGCCGCACATGGAGTGCATATCAATAAGAGAATTGGTCAGAAAAACTTCTGAGTCCAACCCGTTGACGACTGTCAATCCATGAACCAGCTTACCCAACTCAAAATCACCGGTTTGACCACATACACTCAAGACACCGTAAGCTTATCAAGTTTCCAACCAGCCATTCTTGCTTCCTTAAAAACACCCAATGCCTTATCAAACAAACCCGCCCGTGGTAACCAGAAATCAAGGAATTGTACGAAATGAGATTCCGCTTAGACATTTTATCGAACAAGTGGCGTGCACTGTCCCATTCTCTAAGCTAGGAGTAGAAGTGGAGAAGATCGTTGAGCAAAAACATACAGGGGTTAAAAGGAAGATTTGATAATGTGGGCGTGAGCAAGCTTGCCGTGGAGTGAAGACCCGGTTTTGGTAGCGTGTTGGTCAAGTTTCGTATAGGCAACATTGTCTAGAGAACTATTGGGATGGCAAAGTTGAGACTTGAGAGCACTGCTGTGGAAACGGTGCGGGTTCAGGCAACATATTGGTCACATTTTGGCCTAAAATTTACAAAATCAGTCTCAAATCAAAGGTTAAAGGGAATCAAGTTAAAATAATCAGGCTAAGTAGCCTCAAAAAGTAATAAAATATGAAGGAAAATAAAATATAGTCATGGTTTCGGAATTGAAAATTTTAACCTAAAATAGTCTTTAAAATGTTAACTTTTGGCGGGTTTAGCCCTCTATGGTTGGAGATGGCTTAGCAAGCGAGCTTTTAAGTGAGTTAAGAGTATATCCAACAAAAATGTCAAATATAAAATATAAAATTTTATTTGAAGGTTGATGTAAAAAAAATTTCATTCCAAAATAAGTGTTAAGTTATTATTTTATTATATATTGGACCCAAAGATTGTATTTGAGCGCTGATGTCAAAAAAAAAAAAAAAAAGAAAAAAAAAAGAAAATTCAAGTCAAAATATGTGTTAAATTATTATTTCATTATATGTTGGACCTCACTGTTACAGTTTTTAAGAAAATTAAAAGTTATCATATTAATGTAATACGGAACCTACACCCTTTATAATAAAATTGATTCTATCTTTGTTTGTTGTTAAAAAAAAAAAACGATCAACTTGGAGATTGAAGAATAATCATTGAAAGAAGAAAAATCATCGTCTTCTCAAAAATATACTTGAGGCTATACATTAAAAAAAAAAAAAGAAGATATTTTGAAGAGAAAAAACTGAAGATGGCCTTACAAGTTTGTAAGGCTATTTCGCATATTTCCCGTTGAACTTGTACTCAACTATTGATTTTTCTCTCTAAATTTTAATTTTGGTCAATTTTATCTTGTGGTTAGTGTATTAATAATCAATTTTCTCTTATCATCAAATTTATCCACATTTATCCAACTCTTCAGGAAAATCGTCACACTTCAAGAAAGTAAAACATGTTAGACCTAAAATATAGAATCAAAGAGAATACAGAGAAAATAGAGAGGCCAAACAAGAGAGATTGAGAAAGAAATCAGAGTAACAATTCTTCTCATTAGATAGCCAATTTACATAAAAAAAAAAAAAGTGTACTATTGTCATATTACATATTGACTCAAAAGTGAACAATCATGTAATAAATACTATTCACAGCACAACTCGTAATACTTGGACATGATAAAATTGGGGTTCCATTATAAAATCAATTGGCAATACGGGGAGTAGCCCAATATCATATAAGCATATAGTAAACCTTGTCCCTCACCGATGTGGGACAACTCTCAACACGCCCCCGCTCGTGTGGCAAATTTTCAAGCCTACACGTGGACAACAACTCGGTGATGTAGAGTGCGTGTAACCGTTTGGCTCCACACGAGGACAACCTACTCTGATACTATGATGAAATTGAGGTTCCACCATAAAACCAATTGGCAATATGGAAAGTAGCCTAAGATCATATAAACACGTAGCAAACTTTGTCCCTCACCGATGTGAGACAACTCTCAACATTCAACAGCCATCACCGTATGATCGCAATCCTCGGTGACTCATTTGGAGCAACCAGGATCTCCTTCATCAACTTTTGGAGTTTTTCCATTCAAATATCCAAGCTTGTCCAAGCCCGCAGCATGAACCTCCATCATCCTCGACCACACTTTGAAGTTTGTGTCGTTCAGTTTGAACGCAAATGGCATGGCATTAATGTTGGACGACTCAGACCCAGTCTGACATAGATAGGAATGCCTCCTCCTGCCTTTTTTCCGGCCATCGCGACGAATCTGTGATTGTGTAGGGTAGGTTTGTTTTAGGGTTTCTTGGGTTGGTATTGATTTCTTGTTTCGAGATTGGTGAAGATGGTACAACAACTTTTGAATAAAAGTTGCAGATTTGTGAATTTTCAGTTGGCGGTTAGGTTTCGGGGAAAAAGACGGATTGTAACCCGCTGCCAAGCTCAGAGAATAAATTCGGGGTTTAATTTTTCTCTATATTATTTGTTTCTTGGAGGACCAACATATATACGGAAGTACAAGGCATTTTCTTGATTCGATAGATTTTTAAATAGGCATTTTCTTCATTTGATAGATTTTGTTGTGGGTTTGTAGATATGGTCGACTAGCTCATCTGATATTGGTCTCTCTTGCCTGGTAGAGTTGTATTGGTGATGGCTAGGGTTGGTGGATTATTAATGATGAGGATCCTCTCCGGATCCTTTTGTGAGGATCCTAACAATTCTCACGTCTCATCCGTTCATCATATATCATGCGATCAGCTTTTGTTAAGTACTATTTGTGTTTAATTTAAATAAAAAAAATATTTAATATGATTTATGTTCGCATGATGAACAGATAAGATGTGAAGATCCCTAGGATCTTCGCAAAGAGGATCGGGATGGGATCCAAATCCGTTTTCAAATGTTAGCTTGGCTTCTAATTCTTGCTTTGAGAAGCATGTATTAACTAATTGTCATTTCTTTTAGGTTATATCTTTGTGTGGTTGGTGAGATGGGTTTGCAAATTGAATGGAGCAACGAGGAGCGTCTACAACTCGCTGCTGAAAGAATCATGTTTCGCTGCTGAAAGAAAAGCTACAAGTATTGTTGAAAAACCAATCATTAATGAACACATGTCTTAATATTTGAAATTAGAAATTATATATCCGGATACTTGTTCATTTGTGATAGAGTTTTAGCAGCACTTACTTCTTTTCTATTAGCAACAAAGCATGGTTTGTGTTGGAAATTATAACAATGTTGTGAATATATATACAACAAATATATTATATACTAATACTATAGACATCGTATCAACACTATCCACATTATCCTTCAATACAATATATGCCTCATATCAATATACATATTGTAACAAAACTATCGCAATATAGTATTTGTGATATATTAAAGGATAATTTAGACAGTTTATTCTATCGTGATGTTGTCCATGTTATTGGACATGTCTATATCTTTATTTTGACTAGACACTTTTGAAATGGAAGTGATATTTTATCATAATGGTGGAAATGTGTTGAGTCCTTACATGATAGCATGTGTTTGAACTTCGTCGGTGGCTAATCTAACAAAATCTATTGTTTGATAAAAACAGAAACATTTTGAAATTAGTAAAATTGTTGCCGTCCTATTAGATTAGGAATGTGATCGTGTAAATCCCATCATATCTGGGATATCCTTATGAGATTCTACCCTATCTCTTAGACTATATATTATCCTATTAGAGTTGTAATCCTATTGAGATAAGGAATTTACCTTCCCTACTACTATAAATAAAGACACAATGGGGTGGAATAACACACACCTCACAATTACACATCTCTCTCTTTCTCTCTATGTCGCCGCACCCCCTCTCTGTGTCCTTTATATGGTTCAGTGAATTAGACCTACAACACGTTATTAGGGCTTATTATCAAGGCCTATGGTAGAATCAGGGCCTATTAAGGCGTGGCACACGCCTGAAGCATGATCTTTGGTACTTAAGACGTAAATCTTCAAAAATTAAGGATACGAACCTTAACCCTGTAAAATATACTCTCGATGGAATAAATCATTGGTTATGCACCTGTTTACGCCCCTACCAATGTCGTTGAGGAATATCATTCTTGTAGTCAATATGTGAGACTAATTTTGCTCCACCGAACACCATTGGAAAAATAGAATTTTGACATGGATGACCTTGTTGGCCAAATCCCCTTAGTAAACCATTTACTTCGTGAACATTTTTATATGTTCTTGGATTCAGCTTTGGTATTTGTTTTAGTTATGGATTATGTTATCGATATTGTCCTCGAATATGAGTTAATTGAATCATGTTTCTTAAACATGTGACCAAATTCGATTAAACATGTGATTAGGTATGAACGTGGGAAAGTTAGTTTCGCAATTGTAAGCTGCTGTCTGCTTAGTTTCGCAAAACACAAGCAAAGTTTAGACAAAATTCATATACACAAAATATCTTCTGGTTTCTATTCTTTGTGCAATGTTTTAAGATAGTTTTTCAAGAATGAAGATCTTAGGGATTCTCAAATCGTGTACATTCATCGTACATCGTGCGGTCAGAAATTATTTTAAATATTTTTATTTAAAATTAAATATGAATAATATTTGACGAAAACTGACCGCACGATGTACGATAAATAGACACGAGGATCCTCACAAAGAGGATCCTCATTTGTTTTACAAATTGTAGGGTTAAGAATTCGTAAAGACATAAAGTTTTATACATAAATGGTCTCTTGGTCACCTTTGATTAACATGGAATTCTTGATCACTCTCTTTGATTAGAAATCAACTATTGGATATTTTTTAATGTTTTTAATCTCAATATAGTATTGTGATGTTATATGGATAATTTAGACATTTCATTATATCACGATGTATACATTATTGTTCATGACTATATTTAAAAAATAAAAACAGCAAAAGACAAACAAATCATGGTCCACTTCCGATTTTCTTCTAAAAAGTTGGTTTGGTTGGGTTGGGTGGGGTGGGGCAGTGCAGGTCCTCTCTTTATCTTTATTTAATTGGTGAGAAGTCAATAAGTCCTTGATTGTTTCAAAGTTGACAAGACTCCACTGCCTCGTCTAACATATTGACAATATTAGTTTGCTATAAGGAAAATCGACAGAAGCACCGCATCGAACAATTGTATGCTGCCGTCCGCTTAGTTTAGCAAAACACATGCATAGTTTAAACAAAATTCATATACACAAAATATCTTCTGGTTTCTATTCTTTGTCCAATGTTTTAAGATAGTTTTACAATAATGAGGATTTTAGGGATTCTCAAATCGTGTACGTTCATCGCACATCGTGCGGTTAAAAATTATTTTAAATATTTTTATTTAAAATTAAATAGAATAGTATCTGACTAAAACTGACCGCACGATATACGATGAATGGACACGAGAATCCTCACAAAGAGAATTTGAAGAGGATCCTCATTCGTTTTACAAATTGTAGGGTTAACAATTCGTAAAGAGATAAAGTTTTATACATAAATGTTCTCTTGGTCACCTTTGATGAACAAGGAATTCTTGATCATTCTCTTTGATTAGAAATCAACTATTGGATATTTTTTAATGTTTTTAATCTCAATATAGTATTGTGATGTTATATGGATAATTTAGACATTTCATTCTATCACGATGTATACATTATTGTTCATGACTATATTGAAAAAAACAGCAAAAGGCAAACAAATCATGGTCCACTTCCGATTTCCCTTCGGTTATGATTACTTCGATTTTCTTCTAAAAAGTTGGTTTGGTTGGGTTGGGTGGGGTGAGGTAGTGCAGTTCCTCTCTTTATCTTTATTTGGTGCAATTACTTTAGCCGGAAGAGAGATTTAGCAGAAGTCACTATCCGGGGCGTCAAGGGTCGTTGGATGAGAGCACCCCGGAATTACCAACTTTTATTCAATTGAATTTATCTTCTCAAATCAAATCAAATAATTGCATCAGAAAACACAACGCACAAACACCAAAACGCAAACAAACCGGCAGCAGCAGCAGCCATGGGAGACGCCATAGTGCTGTACGCAGCTCCAGGAATTGGTCACATCATCTCCATGGTGGAGCTGGGCAAGCTCATCCTCAACCGCTACGGCCCCCACAAATTCTCCATCACCATTCTCTACACGTGCGGCAGCTTCTTCGACACACCTAGCATCCCCGCCTACATCCGCCGGATCTCCCACTCCCACCCTCCCATTTCCTTCCGCCAGTTCCCTCGCGTCGCCACTAAAATTACCCAAAACATTAGCGGCTTCGCAATCATGACCGACTTCATCCGCCAGAACGATCCCCACGTCCGCCGTGCCCTCCAAGACGTCTCCAAATTCGCCGTCGTTCGCGCCTTCATCATTGACATCTTCTGCACCTCCGCGCTGACCATTGCCAAAGAATTCGACATCCCCACATACTACTTCTACCCTTCCGGTGCCGCAGCTCTGGCTGCTTTTTTGTATTTTCCTAAGATCCATGAACAAAACACCCAGAGTTTCAAGGACCTCACCGACATCGTTTTGAAATTGCCCGGACGGAAATCTCCCCTGAAGGCTATATACATGATGGAACCGGTGCTCGACCGAGATGATCCTGGTTATTGGGACGTGCTCTCCTTTTGCTCACACCTTCCCAAATCCAACGGAATCATCGTCAACACGTTCGAACAGCTCGAGCCACCTGACGTCCTCCATGCCATTGCTGAAGGCCTGTGTGTTCCTGATGGGCCAACTCCGCCTGTGTACTACGTTGGACCATTGATTGACGATGAAAAAGAATCGGGTAATGATGCAGATGCGGCGGAGGAGGACTGCTTGTCCTGGCTCGATAAGCAGCCAAGTCTAAGCGTTGTATTTCTCTGTTTCGGAAGCAGGGGATCATTCCCTGCAATTCAGGTGAAGGAGATAGCGAAAGGGTTGGAGGCGAGTGGGCAGAGGTTCCTGTGGGTGGTGAAGAAGCCGACGGTTGATGAGAAAACAAAGCAGGTCCTTGGAGTTGACGACTTTGGTTTGGAGAGTGTGTTGCCAGAAGGGTTCTTGGAGAGGACCAAAGACAGGGGAATGGTAGTCAAATCATGGGCACCGCAGATGGCGGTGTTGAAGAAGGAATCGGTTGGTGGGTTTGTGACGCATTGCGGATGGAACTCGGTGCTGGAAGCAGTTGTTGCGGGGGTGCCGATGATTGTTTGGCCACTGTACGCGGAGCAGCATATGAACAGGAATGTTCTGGTGACGGACATGGAAATGGCGATTGCGGTGGAGCAGAAAGATGAGGAAAATGGGTTTGTGAGCGGGGAGGAATTGGAGAGGAGAGTGAGGGAGTTGATGGAGTCGGAAGAAGGGAGAGTGCTTAGAGAGAGGAGCAAGAAAATTGGGGAGGTGGCTGTGGCTGCTTTGGGAGAGAATGGTTCGTCCACAAGAAACATGGATAACTTTGTTAATAGCATTACATAATTATGCAGTTCTGGTTTTCATTTGCATTTGGATTTTGGCAAGACATAAAATTAAGAAAAATTGTATCTGTACGATCACAATAGGATTGTCGTCCGATCACCTAAATTTTCTTTAAAAGTTGGTTTTCTTTTCGTTCCTAGTGTTATTAGACGACCGTCTGTATTCTAAAACGATCGTTTTTTATATTACCAGATGATAGTTTGAAATCGAACCGTCGTTCCTAGCATTACTAGACGAGAGTTTGTCTTCTAAAACCGTCATTATTTATATTATCAGACGATAGTTTGAAATTAAACTCTCGTTCCTAGCATTACTAGACGACAATTTGTATTCGGAAACCATCTGTTCTTTATGTTACCAGACGACAATAGTTTGAAATTGAACCGTCGTCCCTAGCATTACCAGACGACCGTTTGTATTATGAAATCGTTGTTCTTTATATTACCAAACGACGGTTGTTTGATATTGAAATGTTGTTCCTTGCATTACCAGACGACTGTTTGAAATATGAAACTATCATTCTTTATATTTGTTAAAGGAAAGAAAATCACGTGATATGATTGAGAGTGATTACAGCTTCTGGAATTGTCAACTCTTGTAGAGTGATTGTAGGATGTAAATGTAATTAGCTTGATTATAGGTTCTGTTTACTTAGAATAGCTTATCAGCTTTGTATAAAGTTCCTGCCTTGTGTGCCAATATTGTCATAAATACAATATACAAGTTCACAAATTTATATGGCATCAGAGCACCAATCTTGGTGACTCTTTCACGCTTCCGCCACCACAAACACCATAACCACCATAGCCTTTCCATAATCTCTACATCTCTCCCACAAATATCATTGACAATACCATGACAGAACCAACCAAACCCGAAAACAAGAAACCAGATGAGAATCTCATGGAGTTCTCAGACTCGTACACAATACATCCCTCAGATCACACTGGACTTGTTCTGGTTTCCAAAACTCTTGATGGAAACAACTACGAGCAATGGAGCCGTGCCATGCGCATGGGTCTCAGCGCAAAGAACAAGATTGGGTTCATTGATGGAACCATCAAGGCTCCATCACCCCTGGACACAAAGTATGCAGCCTGGAAAAGATGCAATGACATGGTTACATTATGGATTGTGAATTCAGTCCACTCCGACATAGCCGGCAACATCATGTACACTAAAATTGCTACCGCAGTTTGGAATGACCTCAGAGACAGATTCTCCCAGAGTAGTGACTCGAGGATTTACCAGATTCGACAAGAAATTGCCAAGAATCGTCAAGGGCAGCTCTCCGTTTCTACTTATTACACGAAGATGAAAGCTTTATGGGACGAGTTAGCGTCCTATCATGACCCATTCGATTGCACTTGTACAGGCTTGAAATGAGTTGCTGAACAGGAAGAAAAAGAGAGAGTTATGCAGTTTCTGATGGGATTAAATGACTCCTACGCAACTATACGAGGCTCAATTCTGATGATGAGCCCACTACCTGATACACGTCGAGTTCATGGCCTCATTCTCCAACATGAACGACAGATGGATGTGGCCAGTTGTCGTGATATGGGGAAAAACTCCCATACGATGCAGGTTCAGCGAACTGATGCGTCGTCATCTCATAGCAAGACTTCCAACACGTTTTCATGTAAGTTACTCAAATGTACTTACTGCGACGGAAATGGACACTTGGTGGATCGTTGCTATTACATTATTGGGTTCCCAGAAGGACACAAATGGCATGGAAAAAATGTGAAGCCCAAGAATAAGAGAGCAGCTAACAATGTCGAGGTTATCAATCCTGCAACAACCACCAAGACTAAAGCTTCTGATGGTCTTACGTTCACTACCGATGAATATAATCAAATCATTGCCATGCTCCGTAACGGTAATGGACAACCACTTGCAAATGCAACATGTATTTTCTTGCCTAAATGCAATATAGCACAAACAAACCCACATTCGACTTTATATTGGATTGTTGATAGCGGAGCAACTGACCATATATCTCATTCACCACCAACACACAACATCATGGATGCTCAGCATGACTATGTTGGCTTACCAAATGGGGGACAAGCGGAAATAAAAAAGATTGGTTCTATAAAATTGTCACATGAGTTATCTCTTGATAAAGTTCTTTATGTACCAAAGTTCCACGTCAATTTGTTGTCTATTAGTAAATTGACAAGAGCTTTGTGATGTATAGTGACGTTCTATCCTGATTTTTATGTTGTGCAGGACATGGATACGAAGAGGGTGATTGGCCTGGGCAAGCATTTTGATGAGCTCTACGAAGAGGGTGATTGGCCTGGGTGATTTTTATGTTGTGGCATCGGCGCCTTGGGCACCCATCATCCGCACCTTTACTTTCATTGGCAAGAATAATACTGAAATAATGTTTGATTCCAAACACATTTGTGAAGTTTGCCCTTTAGCAAAGCAAACTCGTTTACCCTTTCATAATAGTGAAATTAAAACTTCCGCACCATTTGATTTAATTCATTGTGACATTTAGGGCCCTCACAGACACCAAACACACTTTGGGGCATGATATTTTCTCACTATTGTGGATGATTTCACTCGTTTTACTTGGGTACATCTTATGAATTTCAAATCTGACACCCAAACATTATTAAAGTCCTTTTTCTCTTGGGTCAAAACCCAATTTCAACGTACCTTTAAAGCCCTTCGTGCGGATAATGGGAGTGAATTTCTTTCCATGCGTCCTTACCTAGACTCGTGTGGCACCTCCTTCCAAAATTCTTGTCCTTGCACACCACAACAAAATGGGGTGGTTGAACGTAAACATAGGCACCTTTTAAATGTTGGTCATGTTATTAGATTTCAAGCCAACTTACCCTTAAAATTTTGGGGGGAAAGTATCCAAACTACTTGTTATCTCATAAATCGTCTACCTACAACCTTGCTCTCCCATAAGTCTCCGTACGAACTTTTGCATAATACACCACCTACTTATACCCACTTACGAGTTTTTGGATGCCTTAGTTATGCCACCAACCTCACACCCATCGCTAAGTTTGACGTCCATGCTCGTCGTTGTATTTTCCTTGGTTATCCACTTAGCCAAAAAGGTTATAAGGTATATGATCTTGTCACACACAAAATCTTCACCTCACGAGATGTCATCTTTCATGAACATATATTTCCTTACACAACCTCACCCACCATTGACCAAAGTGACATGCCTATTATTCCCATTATCCACCCAACACACGGCACAAATACCAATACCCACATCACCTCCACTTTTGACTCAATTCCCATGGTGCTTGATTCACCACCTAATCAGGTTCCTATTTCCCCGACCGACCTTGAGAGTTCCTCACCACCTCCACCACCCATTATCTCCACCACACTCGAGCCTTCCTCACCCAACTTGAGCCTTCCCATTCCACCTGCCACCACCGACAGTTACACACCACCTGAACCTTCCCCATATGCACTCCTTCGTCACTCTACTCGTCCCACCAAACCCCCTACTCATTTCAAGGATTATGTGGCTCATCATTCAACCTTGCTCACACCCACGGATCCCATCTCACCATCCATGTCCAACACGAGATATCTACTACATCAGTATGTTTCCTATTCTTGCTTGTCTCCTGGGTATCAACGTTTTGTTTCTCATATTTCACACTTGGTGGAGCTTACTACCTATGAATAGGCTTGTCAGAATCCCCACTGGGTTACAGCAATGCAAGCCAAAATCACAGCTCTTGAAGACAACAAAACGTGGAGTTTTGTTCCACTACCGCCCGGACAACGACCCATTGGTTGCAAATGGGTTTTCAAGCTCAAGTGCCACTCCGAAGGAACTCTTGAACGCTACAAAGCGTGTCTCGTGGCCAAAGGCTTCACCCAACGTGAAGGTATCGACTACAAGGAGACCTTCGCACCAGTGGCCAAACTCATTACCGTGCGTTGCTTATTGACTGTGGCTGCTGTCCACAATTGGCCTTTACATCAAATGGACGTCCAAAACGCCTTTCTTCCTGGAGAACTTCAAGAAGAGGTATACATGTTGCCTCCCCCGGGTTGTCGTCGACAGGGGAGAATGTTGTGTGTCGATTCCACAAATCTTTGTATGGTCTTAAACAGGCGTCCAGAAGTTGGTTTTGAGAATTTTCTTCGGTAATCTGTGACATTGGTTTCTGCCAATCTAAGGCAGATTATTCTCTGTTCACTCAAGTCAAGGGTACTTCGCTCACTATTGTATTGTTATATGTTGATGATATGGTGATTACACGCAACAACGAGACAGAAATCAAGAACCTAAAGGCTTTCCTTAGCAGTCGATTTCGAATTAAAGATCTTGGACTTTTGAAATATTTCCTTGGAATTAAGGTCGCACGTTCGAAAGTTGGAGTCACAATATGCCAACGGAAATATACACTGGACATATTGGAGGAGGCTGGGTTACTTGGTGCTAAACCTATGAAAGTTCCAATGGAGGCCAGTTTGGTGCTTACACCCGTAGGAAGCACTTCACTTCATGAACCTGTGGCGTATAGGCGCTCAATTGGAAAATTGATTTATTTGACCATCACAAGATCGGAAATAGCATACACTATCAACACATTGAGTCAGTTTATGCAAGATCCACAACGACACCATCTTGATGCAGTGTATCGACTTCTTAGATACCTTAAAGGAGCTTTTGGGCAAGGTTTGATGTTTTCTTCCCTAAGTGAATTACATTTAACTAGTTAATGTGATGCAGATTGGGCTCGTTGCCCCATTACACGTCGATCAGTGACCGGTTACTGTATTTTTCTTGGAAAGTCACTAGTGTATTGGAAAAGCAAGAAACAAGTTATAGTAGCCCGTTCATCCACAGAAGTGGAGTATCGGTCCAGGGTTGTAGCCACTTGTGAATTAAGTTGGTTAAGATATTTACTGGAAGACTTGCTTGTCAACCATCCTCAGCCGGCAAGATTATTTTGTGACAACCAAGCCGCCTTACACATAGTCGCAAATCCGGTGTATCATGAACGTACAAAGCATATCGAGATCGATTGCCACACAATCCGAGAGCGAGTTCAAAAAGGAGAAATCAAAACTTCCTATGTTAGGACAGGGGAGCAGGTTGCAGACTTGTTTACCAAACCATTACGCGCGCCTATTTTCCATGCACATCTAGGCAAGTTGGGTGTGATTGACATTCACACTCCAACTTGAGGGGGAGTGTT